CATGATTTTCACTTTTTTTATTTTTCTAATATCATCATTGAACTTTAAACATTATAGAAATATTTAAAAGAGTAAGAAGAGGTCATTAAACTTTATTACATAGAAGATGCTTTTCTAGTTCTTAAGTTCCAAAAGATGTAATTCTACTCACTCCTCTGTTAATTCATTTCCCTCTACATAGGAATCCTGCAAATTTCAAATAAAAGGAAAAAGAACAAGCAAAATGATGCATCATTCTTAACAAAATCAAAAGCAGAAGAACTAAAATAATTAGTTAATATTGACAATTAGAGAGAGCAAATAGTGAATTGGTCTAGCTTTTAGCAACATGCCACCATACTAAACTGAAGGTTAAATTTGAAAATTTCAATTTCTTTATGTCAAATTGAAAACAGAAGTAGAGAGAGAAATGGATTACAAATTGCAGTTGAGGGTGGGGTCAATGGGTACCAGGCCTCCAACAGCACAAAAGCGAGGCAACCCTTTAGCTCTATCTACAGCAAACCCAACGCCAGAGGCAACAAATTTCATACATTTACAAATGTCTTGGCGATCTGTGATTGTAGCAGCATCCTTTTATAGTTTATCCACAGCTGTACAACAAAGGCCACACTTGGGTCCGGAGACCTAACCGTCAAGTAGGGTACGCGCAAGGCATCAATCTATCTATGGCATCTGGACATGTTATTGCATGCACGCGACAGCTAGCCACCATGGCAAAAATGATCCCTACGCAAAAATTCCAGGATCGATGACCCATCATTTTCTTCTCCATCCTTTTTTCTCTCTAACTATTGTTATGTGCTAGAAAATATAAGAAGAGATACAAAATTTGCTTTTGTGGAGCAAACGGATTTGCCTTGAAAATAATCTATAGGGAATTTCACAAAATCTAATTAATGACTCATTTATATTTGCAATTGTAATCTTCAGTTTTTTTGAAGATATACTTGCCATAATTTTTTTTTCAGCAAGGTGATATATTTGGCTAAAGTATGTATTTAGCCCTTTACCTTATTAATTTTGAAGTTTAAAGCCCCTTACTTTAGCTCATGAACTTAAAAGTTTAAATATTTGAGCCCCTAAACTAACGAAATCCATTAACTCTCCATTGAAAATAAATTATTTACAGGATTAGTTCTCAAAAATTAAAAATGCAACAATTTAGTTTGAAAAGTTTAAAAATTAAAAAAATTAGTAAATTAAAATAATTAATAGATGATTTTATCACATATACAAGAACAATACTAGATATCTACAATCAAATCAAGAGATTGACTCAATCTCAAAAAAGAAATTTGACTGAGATTAAAGAAAATTTCTTAGTTATATATTTTTAAACTTTTAAACTCTCTATTTTAACTCAACCAATAAATCTTTTTTAATCTCTATCAAATTTCTTTCTTTAAATTGAGTTAATTGCTC